ACTTGTGAGGAATGAATTGCTTGAGGACCCGGCCGAAGGAATTCGTGGTCCCATAGTCACATGCATTTTGATTACTTTTTTTTTGGGCGTCATATTATGTGGGTCTGTCTCCGTCATCGCAGTGGTTTACACTTCGGACTGTTGTCGTCCACTCGTCCTTATTGATTTTTTAATGGGGCAGTAGTCTCCGCTGTTTTATTAATCTGAATGAAAGAAATTAGTCAGCAAAAGACATCGACGTCATACGTAAAATGGGATACAATAATGAGATTCTGGATCATGTGATTTGTCAACGTCGGTGAAGTTATTCTTTGACCAATTAAAAATTACAACAAAATTATTAAGGATTAATCTTCGAGCTCTTGTACACCGACAATATATATATACTTTCATTATTGAATGTATAACAAATAATTTAAATTTAAATTTAAAATTTAAATTTTGCATATGGATCATACATTCAAATTTAAAATCGATCATTAAAATTTACTCAATTATTAATTGGCTTTATTTGAATTATAAATTTTCTCCAAAAAATTTTGATTTTTTATAAATATATTTATTAATTATCTGTTTACCTCACATATATCAAATCGGTACAATATATTTTTCTACACAAAAGGAAAATAAAACTCAGTGAATCAGCACAGCTTTAACCATTTTGCACAACAACATTTGTTTTCCAACTCGCCGCCTCTTAACTTTTATGTTTTTTTTCAAAAAAAATCTATAACCGGCAAAATATTAATATGTTCGGAATGAGTAACCTTCTTTTTTTTTTTTTTTTTTTTTTAAATGATGAACTTAAAAATTTATCCCCTGCCAAGAAAGGCGTCACTTCTAGTTACATGCTAACAATGATTATCCGTGAAGAAACACCTATGCCAGTTTGTATAGCCGACAAAGGACATGCAATTTTGAAGTGGAGGTCTCAAAAAAGTAGGAGGCTGGAACCTAAAAATAACAAGATGATGCTTCTGAGAAAACATTCCTAATTTTTTTTTTGTCAATCGAAACTTGTCTATTTTACGCCTACTCCTACTCTAACCTATACTAAAGGGGAGGGATTAACTGGACAATGGGAGAATCGACAGAGACTAAATTACTATCGGATCAGATAGGTATACTACGCACCTGTATGAATTTAAACCATTTAAAGTGACAAACACATATAATGGCAAGTGATGAGAGGCTACGGTGGTGGCCAACAGTTGATTACAAAAAAGTTACATCAAAGAGTACAGTACAGATGATGATCATTGGAGGAACTTAGGGGGCGTTTGGTAAGAGGGTATCGGATTCGGGGAATGGAATGAACCCCATAAATGGTGTTTGGTTCACTGGAATGGGAATTGAAATCTTGGAATGATTTCTAAAAATTTGGTGTTTCTCCATTCCCTAGTATTTTGGTGGGTTTTGTCCGATTCCCAAGTTTGATTCCAAGAAACAAATCCAATTACATATTATAATTATACAATGATATAATTAATATTTATATATATTATATTTATTATATATTATAATATATACATATATATAATATATTATAATTATAATATTAGTACATTATATAAATATATATTATATTTATATAATATATATAAATTTATTAATATTATGTAATAATATATTTATAATATATATATGTATATTTAATAAATGCATATTATATGTGCATATGATTATAATATACACATGTATATAATATTAATAAATTATATAATTATATTTATTATTTTAAATACAATAATATATAATAATTACTATATCTAATATTAATATGCATTATACTTATATAAAATATGAGTACAATTAATATTTATATATTATATAATTATAATTATGTACATATATATAATATATTATAATTATAATATTAGTACATTATATAAATATATATTATAATTATTCAGTTAAATATAATTATATTTATATAATATATATATAAATTTATTAATATTATGTAATAATATATTTATAATATATATGTATATTTATAAATGCATATTATATGTGCATATGATTATAATATACACATGTATATAACATTAAATTATATAATTATATTTATATTTATATTTATTATCTTAAATACAATAATATATAATAATTACTATATCTAATATTAATATGCATTATACTTATATAAAATATGAGTACAATTAATATTTATATATTATATAATTATAATTATGTATTTATTTTATAGCGTTTGTATAATTATAATTAATTATATATATAACATTTAATTTAATTAGTTACAAACTTACAATAATGATGTTATTGTATTATATAATTATATATTATAATTATTTAGTTAAATATAATTATACTTATATAATATATATTATAAATTTATTAATGTTATATAATATTATATTTATAATATATATGTATATTTATAAATGTATATTATATGTGCATATAATTATAATATATACATGTATGTAATATTAATAAGTTATATAATTATAATAATTATTATTTTAAATATAATAATATATAATAATAACTATATTTAATATGTAATATATATTATATTTATATAAAATATTAGTATAATTAATATTTGTATATATTATATAATTATATATTTATATATTTATATTTAATTATATATATAATATTTAATTGAATTAGTTACAAATTTATAATGATAATATTATTATCTAAATTTACTAATACATTTATACTAATATATTTACTAATACATTTATACTAATATATTTAATTAGTGAAAATTTCTTATATCTTATTTACAAAGAGCCAATAATTATCATTTACGATGTGGTTTATAATATATTTATTATATTCCATTCCGAAAGAGTCGACGAACCAAACATCAACTATAGTAATGATACACATTCCAGGTACTTGAACCAAACAAATATATTGGAATGAATGACCTCATTCCAAACCCAAGATATCCGATTCCGAATCCAAATCCGATTCCGACGTGCGAACCAAACGCCCCCTTAGTCACATGGTATATGTAATGTTACACTGCCTTTGCTATATAAAAATGAATCAAATAAAAGGCAAGATAATGATAGGAAATTTTTTTTATTACATCATAAATACGTCTTTAATCATATTATGTCACATACATTATATTAATAAAAATCGCAACATTGTTGTTTTAAAGAAAATTTTCTAATAATCTTATATCCAAACACTTGAGAGCATAACAATCTAAAATCAGATGAACATGCATGTTGCTTGATACCCCATATGGGTAAGAAATTCACCAAGAAATAATTAAAGGTCTCCCAACTCTCATGTTAGATTCCAAAAGGAAACCAAAAAAAAAAAAAAATTACAAATTCATATTAAAGCCAGCAATACCTGTATAAAGACTTGCCACATTTAGGTCGAATAGAACTGGCCTAGGGCAACGTATTCAATTTTGAGCTTCTTGTTTTCATTTTTTTTTTGGGTCAAATTGTCATTTGTATTCATAAATATTTGAAATCTTACATCAGTAAGTACATTAATGGCAATGGCCGAGCAAAGACCCTAAGGTAATATATAGGATGCAGTAATAGTGAATTAAATTAAATGAAAGTTATGCCTGGTGGATGTGATTACAATAGGAATTAGTGGATGAAAGCCCAACAGGTATCATAGAGTTGGATCTGAACATAATTCAATCCATTTGACATAGACAAGAAATTAATATGGGAGGGATCAACTGTACGAGCTCACACAGACAAAATCAAGAAGCATGCTTGGATTAAGTATTACTCCTCTGAAATTTATTAACAATGTTCCATTAATTCTCGGGTGCTTTTCAGGTCCATCTCTGTGGCTAATTTATGGCTTTTCTGTCGGTGGAATCCGAATGTCTCACATGATTTACCCTTCACAGGAATCACAACAGCGAACAATTTGTTTTTTTTTGTTTTTTGTGTGTGTGTGTGTGTAAGCAAGAGGACTCGAACCTGAGACCTCATGCTTACACTCTTTCCTCTCGTACTGCCCAACCCATCCCTCCCCTCACAGCGAACAATTGCTTGTTTGCTGCTGATAAGGAAACTTAGACTTTATTTGATAATTTAGTTTAGTACTTAAATTTAAAGGGTTCAGATTTTAACATGTTCATGGAAACTTAGACTTGTTTGATAATTTAATTTAGTACTTAAATTTAAAGGATTCAGATTTTAACATGTTCAGATGAACATGTGTTCAGATGAACATGTGTTCAGATGCGTTTGATAACAAAAATAGAATATATGAATTTATGAAGTGACACTGAATTTTCTAAATAAATTTATTTCAAAAAATAAGTGCTAAGTTATTATTCACTTATTACTTAACGTGATATATATTCAAATATATCATATTTAATACTCACCAATTTAGTAGTAAATTAATGAATTTAGAATGCATATTTCAATTTCAGTTTTATCAAATACACCTTAGTGTATTGCATTGAGTGGCTTTGTTTATAGCAAAAGTTCATGAAGCCCATTGATTAGTTGTTAAACATATGCACCTTTATGTATTGGGTCAAGCACCCAAGCACCTTGGAGCAAATGAATTTGGGTATACCACCGAATATGGGACAAAGGTTTGTTTCCAATCAGCCCTTACTACTTCTCGTTGGGCCAACACAGATAAAAAGAGAGTTCGCAGCATTTCAATCATCACAATTCAGGCTTCCAAATCCTGCAAGTCCGTGCTAATTGAGCCACTCCTGAATCTCAACTCTTTTTGAGTTTTAATAGCCAAATTCCAGACAATGAAATTGGGCCATTGAGTTACAAAAAGTATTTTCAATTTTCCTTGAAGTTCAAAATGAACGGTAAAGTTTTTTTTTTTTTTTTTCCCACTCTCAATAAGAAACCAATTCAAGGATCAAGAACACTGGAACAAAATTTGATGTTTTAGAGGCCAAATATAAAAACTTGCAAGTGATCAAACAAGAATAAAACTTGCGGGAAAACCGCACAACTTTGCAATTTGTATGATTTGCTCTTAAGTAGTACAAAGTTCCATTAATTAAATTAAATGGGATATCCTGGTCAAATCCTCAAACAACCACTTTTCCAAAAATCTAATTATGGCCCTAAATATATGTCAACAAGCATACAATCAAAACATACCCCAGAAAAGAAAAACCCAAAAAAAAAAAAGAAGAAAAAGAGAAAAAAAAATTTTCAACATCTTTAGACCTCCTTCAAATTTTTAAGCAACTATATGTACTACGGCATCTTCTGCCATTGTCCCGTGCCACATTTCACCAAATTATTTAGCTCTTGCCGTTGGCCTCTTCAGTACTTTTTTCATCATTGCCAACGATTCCATTTCCATTTGTTGCTGTTGTTCTTGTCTTCCTGGCTTCATTCTGATCAGCCTGATCATCAGGTTCCTTGAACAATGGCACACCGCTTGCAGACAAAGATTGGGGCGCACACATAGCGTTAGTGCTCCAGCATATACCATCTGCACTGCTGGAGACATTTTCCTGTTTGTACTTGTACCATGAAGCCCAGTACAGATAATTGAAGAAATTGAGGAGGCTCAGAATGGCCAAGAACCAAAAGAAATAATCCAAATGGTTCTCGTCCAAAAGCTTCCCATCTAACCATCCACGTTTGCTATGTGTTGTCCTCCTCGTAACAGAGTTGATGATATCCACGAAAATACTGCTCAAGAAATACCCGAAGGACTGTGTTAGCCATGTAAATGATGTGGACAGCGATCTCATCCCCACTGGCGCCTCTTTGTAGAAAAATTCCAGCAATCCCACGAGAGTAAACATGTCTGCAATGCCGAAAATCCCATATTGAAATGACAGCCAAACCACATGTACGGGCTTCCCGTATGTCAGGTCGTGGTTTTTCCTCTTGACTTCAACAAATCCAGCTACGGTCATTGAGACTACTGAGAGAACTAGCCCGACCCCGACACGCTGAAGCTGCGTGACCCCGGATGGATGGTTGGTGATCTTTCGGGCGAATGGGACGAAGAAGAATTCGTAGATGGGGATCAGGATGCTTATGAAAACCAGGGGAATCACGGGAACTGATGGTGCGGGTACTTCAAAGGAGCCGAGGACACGGTTCATGTAATAGCCTTGTGTGACTGAGAAGGTTTGGAGTTGCGCCATACATGTGTTCAAGATGATTGTGCTGGCTATGATTGGCAGCATTCTTGTCAGAACCTTAACCTCTTCGACTTGGGTAACTGTGCAAACTGTCCAGGGCGCTGGCTTGGTATTGCTGTCACGAAGTATTGCCGCCTTGTCGAGCCACCTGATTCGATCAATAAAATCAAGAAACCATCATATGTTTAGATAAACCTTAGAGGGAATACATACATATATATCAGGCTTGCTAGATTTAGCATCAGGCATTAATCTGACCTGAATTGTTCAGTGTGCTGAATCTTTTGATCTGTTGAAATTGATGATTCTTTGTCCTCTGGCTCGTAAAGTTCTTCGGGGCTACTTGGATGTTGCAAGCTTCGGTTTTTAATTGCCACAACTATAACCTGTAACGCCAAGAGAAGTCAATTTTTCACTTAAACATGACATAGCCCAGAAACCAATTAATTCCCTTTTGCGCTTCAAATTGTGGCATTTCTTTAAAAATTAAAATTTTATCTTTTTCCGATTTTCTTCAAGTGAATGAATGAGGAATAACTTTTGAAAAGAAAATTGTGGTCCTCAATGAAAAGTGTATCTTAAAAGGGCAAAGAAAAAAAAATAATCATTACGGTCAAGTAGCATGTATAACATTAATAGTCATACATACCCAATTGTGGATTTTCAGTCATGCTTGGCTAATCTTAGAAAGAAATATGCCAATTGGCCATAGCAACTCCTCACTTTAATTAGCTGTTAATGCAAAATACCAGCAGTATATTTTAGCCTTTAGGAATAAGATATCCATGTCTTCACAGTACCATCCTTTAGAATTTAGAAATACTAGCATTTTACAAATACGTCAATGCGAATTACTAGCATATTTTATCCTTTAGAAATCCATGTCATGCACAGCTCAAAGGCTCAAATGATGAACAAAATTTTAACATTCAATTACTAATTGGTGCAAACATGAAACAGACTAAAAATTCAAGGATTGCATATGCAATTAAAGGTCAGACTGGAAACTGTAATCAAGAAGTTAGACCCCCTTTCTTTTTTTTTCAAAATGTGGGGCCGAATTCAAGAAATAGTACGATCAGACTTGAAAAATATCTACTATGAACTGATTGATTGCATAGAATTGTCATGATTCAAAGGACAAAGAAGGACCTGTATAACTCTTAGGAGGGGGCTATCTCCTGGAAGTTGAAGGCGGTAGAAAGGCTTGCCCAACACAAGAAAAATAAAACCAACAAGGGTTGCAAGGAGGGATATCAGAAATCCAGGCCACCAATGTCTGTTAGTAGCCACCCAAACAATGATTGTGACTCCAATTGTTGCTCCCAAGGTAGAGCTGAGTAATAGAAAGTTGAAATAAGTGGCAAGAGCTTTGGATTCCTTTGGATCTTTCTGATTAAACTGGTCCGCACCTAGGGCAGGAAGAGCGCCCCTTACCCCACCTGTGCCCATTGCTACCAAAGAAAGTGATGCATAGAACATCACTGCTACTCTACCTGCTAAACAACTTGACTTCCCGCAAGGGCTTGGCTGCAAATCCTTGTAACGAGCTTGAACCGTCATCAGCAATAAAGCCTGCAGATATTAGAAACGTAGAAGTACATTGGACTTAAATGTCTAGTCAAGTTAATTTATCGTTGGATTAAGCAACAATTTTGCATGGCGCAAATGAAGTAATTATATACGTCCAGTTTGTTTGTGTTGTTGAAACTTACTAATCTCTTAAATTCTTAATTTTAAGGAATCATAATTAGTCTCTGAGAGGAAATTAGAGTTGAATGGTTAGTGCTGATCATGTCAATTATCAATATGAAGCAATCAATGTCTTATGAAGAGGTATTAGAATGGTAGAAACATACCGCTAATTCAAATACTCCAAAAATCAAACAAGTTTTGAACCGGTTTATGTACGTGTCCGAGATAAAGCCACCAAAAATGGAAAGCAGGTAAGTTGAACCCATGAGGTTGGTGACAGTGTTGGCTGCTGCAGACACCTTGAAATACATTTGGAGTTGGAAGTACAAGACGAAGCTCACCATGTTCGCAACAAAACCCATGTTCTCCAATGACACCAAGGCTACATTATTGTTAAAACGACACTTAAAAAATTAGTAAAAAACATAGGTCGATCGATAACACAAACCAATTAAGGTTGTCCTAGCTGTAATTGATCGCTATCCCAACTCCCATGCGTACCATAAACAAACGAGGCAGCTCTAAATCCCCCTTTCCCTTTCATGTTCGATGAATCTTGATCAGACTTCATAGCATCCTCCTGTACAGATCACATGACACAACACAGAGAAAACTATGCGATTAAGATGATTAATATCCGATCATTTAACGATGGCATTCGTGTCCCTCATTAGAGATTGGAAGGAGAAGAAGACTCACCATGGCTGCTAGGACTTGGTTGAGTTTTTTCACTTAGCAGTTAGAGAGAGACCAACTGCTGGTGGGATTTGTGGTGATGGTGTTGGCAGGAGGGAAATGCATGTGTTTTTGAACGTATGCTAACTTATAATAAGGCTAAAGGGAGCTTTGTATATAACGTTCGAGTTGGACGTGCATCAAAGTGATTGCTAGCTAGCTCTTCCTTGTTTTCACATTCTCTCCAGTCTTTTCTTTCTTTTTCTTTCTTTTTTATTTCTCTCTCTCCATGTTCACGATTCTTTGTTCATGATTAAGATATGGCTGGCAGCTGAGCTAAGTCCGTTGGTTCACTTTCACAAGAGGCCTCAGTGGAAAAGGGAGATAGATATGTGGGATGTGGGCACTAGCCACCAATTACAGTTGTTTGTTTGATACCCCATATCAGGTATCTTTTTTTTTTTTTAAATGCTTTCATTCAAATAAAGGGATTTCTTTTAATTTATTTTTCTCTGAAACATTCTCTATTTGGTCAAATTTAGGTCCATCTTCGTCTAAATCAATAGTAGCATTCAACTGAACAGTGAATAAATCTAACAGTCTTCGATTTGTTCAAGTTTTTTTTTTCTCATTTTGCACTTGTCAAATTAATATTGTCACCTCCAAATTCATAAATGGTGAACAATCTTATGTATAGTCATAATTGTAAGAATGTCCTGATAAAGATCGCAAAATTGTATGGTCGGATGATCTCTCCAAGATCTCTCAGTACATAAACTGGATCTGATTTCGATGAAGAATTGATGGCCTAACATGAAGGAACCAATCCCTTTCCATACTCATGTTTGTTCAGCAATCCCTTTCTCTCCATTTCTGCTTGGTTTGATATTTTGAAGTCAAAAGATCTTGTCTTCGATCACAAGAAAATGACTTGTTTAAATTTTGTGTATAAACCGTAACAACTTCTCCCCGAAGTGTAAAAGTATTTTACACAAGTTCTTTTTACGTTTCTTGCACTAATTTCAAAATTTAAGAAAATCTCTTTGGATTGGCCTATTTTTCACAAACTAGATTTTCAAATATAATGTTACAGTAATACATAAACAAAACAATTCTAAAAGTATCTAATCCATACAATATATTAAAAACAATTCACAACTATATATAAAAAAAAAAAATTCTATCACCCTTTTCTTCTTCCACCTATCACCACCACCACTTGCCGCCACCGTCACTACCACCTCGTCCCTTCTCTTCTCTTCTCTCCTTCCCCTTCCCCTTCCTTTTCCTCCCCCTCCTCCTTCCCGCCCCTCCTTTCCTCACCTCACCTCAATCTGGCTGCGATCTAGTCATGACTAGATGCAGATCTGGTTGGTTGGGACAAGATTTGCATCTAGTCACTACTAGATAAGATCAGAATGAGGGAAGAGGAAGGAAGAGAGGTGGGATTTGCGGGGAAGAGGAAGGGGGGAGGGAGAGAGAAGAGAGAGGAGAAGGGGTTAGTAGCTGTGATAGGAGGTGGTGATATTATTTTTTATTTTTAAAAAATACTCCAAAAGAAATATAAATTCTAAAAGTACCCCAAAATACATCTCCACAACACCTCTAAAAACACTTTAATAACATACAATAAAAGTTTTTCACATGTATTGTTACAGTAAAATTTTTTAAAAATGTTCTAAAAAACAACTAATCCATGCATCCATACGGGGCCTATACATAACAAAAAAAAAAAACACACACACACAATTTCATGCGCACATATATACTTATTTGCACATATGCACAGATGAAACAAAATGTATACATATTTGCCCTTCAATGACTTGTGTAGAATCACAATAATATTAACATTTTCAGGTCCCTATTGACTTCCACTCATAGTCTCATTCCTCTCCTGTGCATGTTTGGATTACAGTTTTCTAGAGAAAATTTTTTACGTTTTTTGTAAATATATTTTTCAATCACATTTTACCTCACATTTCCCGATCAAATAATTGTTACAATATATGTTTCTATAAAAACTCGTAAAAATTTTTCCTTTTTCTTTCAATGCTATAGTACTAGGACTAGACAGAAAGATTTTTGGCCTAGTGGAGTGAGATGCGTGCACATAATTTAAATCTCTATTTATGTAGGAACCATACCTGTGTGCCAAAACGACACCTATGTGCGGACAAGGTTAGGGATGGATGAAACATGAGACCCGTTACTGTCAATAATTACTCAAACATTTGAATGAAGGTAAAGTGAGTATGATATATGACCAACAACTATTGGGTGTTCTAGACCATCCCAAAACCATCTTTCATTATTTGATATTGGGACCTTTGAAAGATCAACAAAACAAACAAGAAAAAAAATAAGAAAATTAAAATAACAAATCTTGTTTTGTTCTTCATCCGCGTGATCCCACCAAAGGATATAAGATTACATCCTTTTTCTTCGTATATTAATCTAAACTAATCCTAAATGCTTGCAAGTGAGTGTTACATCTTTGCCATTGCAACAAATTAAGCTAATATATAATCTCTAAATTTTCTCAAGGTTTGAACATTAGGCGACACATGACTTGTATCTCAATATTTTCAATCCATTGTGCTTTGAATTTGAAAAGAGTATTTTGATCTCTAACACTCAATTATTAGAGAATTTAGTCAGTTGATCATGAGATAAAATAATTGAGGCCTAATTAAAAAAAAAAAAAATCTTGCACTCCTTGTAAAATGAACATTTTATCTTCTACTACTAAACTTTGTTGGCCTTTTGCGGGAGTTTCTGGCTATTACTGCAAAGCTACTTGGCAAACTTTGATTGCTTCCGGGATACCATCAACTTTTGCAGCAGGTTGAATCTTGAATTTATATGCTCAACATTACTTTTCTTCTTAGATTTGAATACCAAGTATTAATCATAGGATGGTGATTATGACATTTTGTGGGTTTAGTGGGAAGGTTGATGCCTAATTTTGTATGGTGGCTTTGTGATCAACAAGCTATCTTTTTGGTAACCAGAATAATTTTAATATCAGGACCCCCCTACTAAAGATATGTCCAAAAAAGACTTGGAAAGGTTTCTAATTGAAGTCAAAAGGAGAACAATAGCTGGACATCGACCAAATAATTGAAGAACTAGACCCGCGATGCAAGATGCACACATGCAATTCATTTAACCCGGTAAAACGACATCTTGTATACCTACGCACGGGTTCTCAACCTGTTGGGATCCAAACGCGGAATATACGACTAGCAAATTTCCTAACACAACTCTATTAATCCGTCAGTCTACGTTCGGCCTCTTGAAAATTTTCTCCTGTTTCATGCCATGTAAGTAGCAAGTCTTGAAATTCTTCATCAGATATAGTATTCCGGTCTTTGTGGCTTGCCCCAGTAGCCAAGTTAAACTTGAATTGATTGCCTTATCCAGATTGTGGAGGAAGGGATCGTTGTAGTAGGGACATTTAAGTGCAATGGATTTAGCACCTTTAGCGCCCACCTCTACATGGGATGTCTATTGTCACAAAAGCTATTCCCTAAAGAAGTTGTTTGGGGCCAAAACATGAGCACATACAGGAAAAAGCTAATGAAATGAAAGGATGGAGAACTAAAGTTGCTCTTCTTCTCTCATCACTCTGGACCACCTTCAACCTAAAATGGATGTGGTCTTAACCTTTCCTGTATTAACAAATCAAATTATTATCCATTCGTGCAACTATGCAAGTTGAGCAGTCTCTTTCTTGGGCAAACAGGAAAAAAAGGGCTCTCCTGTAATCACAGGTATACATGCACCTCCTTTTTGTTAGGATGATGCTGATCGATGTTCATCTTCTTCTTAAACTAATAAATGCAGTAATCCACAAATCCCATTCAATGGATCTTTGTGATTTCGAATCTAAGGAAGTTGAGATATTGAGGTCAATAGCTATTTGGTGCTTCAATAATTCAAACTCATATATATTTCTAGAACTTAAATTACGACACATTGCACACGTTGTAGTTTTTTAACCCTTCATTATGACAGTGTAAAACAAGATTATAAGGACGAAATCAATTATAAGATAATAGCTATGTGAGATAAAAAGGTAATTGGGAATGCGTTAATGGAAAACGCAAAAATTTTCTAGGGAAAAATGGCTTTCCAAACAAAGCTAAGTCGTGTCAAAACATGCATGAGTGAAAACTATGTTGTATACAATTGAAAGCAATGACAACATATAAATGAGCAGATGCAGCCATAGCATTGTGAGTTCCATATATGCCAGAATGATGGAATCTGCCTCTTGTGACTCAGTTAAGGACAATCTCACTCTCAGCCCTTATTGATATCGTCATCACATAGGTGCTGGAGTTCTTGGTCATGCTCTAATCTGCTTGATTTTCACATAGAAAAGCATATTTCATAGGTTTATTTACTTCAGTTATATCATCAGACATTTGGGGTGGATGACCTGTCTTTTGTGCAAATGGTCAGATGGAACAATGTACATTCAGGCAGCTACTGCAATTCTTGCAGGTACTAAGGTAGTTGGATGTAGCTTTAGTGATAAATGTGCAAAACAAAAACGGTCTGCTATAACAGATAATCCAACTCACTGACATGTACACCTGCAATTATATATGATAAAAAAGTTTTAGGCATTTATTTGCTTTGACATCTGTACCTGGATCTTGAAACTGCAATTCTATATAAAAAGTGCTGTCAAAACAGAATCAGATGCCTCTTTTATCGAGCAGCTTTTACACATTGAAGTAAAGAAGATCTTTAAAATCATCATTGCCAATTCATGATCTGGTGCAATGACTAACATGTTATTTGTCTATTCAACATTGTACATTTCTAATTGGATTGGCATATAATTCGACAAAATCTTACAGATCAAAATCTTTGTTAATTTTTAGTGAAAAATCAAGTTGTGCAGAAATGTAAGACTTGAATATTCTGGTCATCAACAATGGTAGACTATTAAAACGGAAAAGATAATTAAACTGTTGATCCAGGATTCCACCTTAAGAAAGAAAACCTGAATATCATTAGGATCTAGTACCTGATGAACCTTTTCATGCCTTTTACTTTTCAGAAAGCAATCCACAACCAGCTTGCTCTTTGCTTCTTTTTCAATTCTCTGAGTCATTCTTTTTTTTTATTCCCCTCTTCGGAGTTCTGTCGGTTGGAGGAAGTTGGATTATCTATTTCTCTGCAAACTTGTGCATCTCGAAAAGAAAAAACCAAAATGGGAAAATATGGTTCTGATCAAGGAACT